TGTGCTGCTGGGGTGCAGGGAGCCCCAGAGCCAGCCATGCTGCTGCCGGTGCTGCTGGGGTTCAGGGAGCTGCATGCAGGATCCGGGGGGGGGGGCCATCTCTCCGTATGCACACAGCTGGCTATGCTCTGTCCTGCGTGGACGAGATGGCTCTCAGAGGCCAGCAAAGTGCTCTCCCTTCAGGGACTCTGTATGGAGGGGAATACACAGCCTGAGCCTTGGGCCTTTTATTCCCCTCTCCCCCCTGTGACTGACCCAGCACAGTTACAGGCCTCAGGGCAGAGGCCCGGCAGAGACCAGCTGGTGGCCCAGAATCCTGGCTGGGTTTGCCGCGAGGCAGGGACTGGCTGTGCACCAGTTCTGCGCCCGGAACGTGACTCAGCCGCGATTGTGCGCGTGGCGTTCTGATCTGCTCGGCCTGCCACCCTGGCCTGGCCTGATCCCGGGGACCTGGGGAGAGACACACGGCTCCATTTCTTCTAGCTGGAAATTCCAGCTCTGATTCATCCATTTCTCTCCCACTAGGGGAGTTCTGGTTCATTTGTCAGGTCCTCGCTTCCCGGGGGTTGTACATGGCTTGTTTGCTCCATACCTCCGCCTGCCGCCCACTAACGGCATCCCCAAGCTCCTCCGTGTGCTCTTCATCCAAACCCATCTGCCTGTCCTGTTCCATGGGGGACCGATGCCTTGGGCCCAGAGCCTGTATTCATTGGATGTATTACACGGCGCCGTTAGAGCCGACCCCTGAGGGAGCTCGCCCTCTCTGTCTCTTGGAATAGATTCTCTCTCTCGTAGCATTTCTAACGCACCCTTTCCTGTACATGGTCTGGGACTCCCCTGGGGGATGCTGGCTTCCTCTCACTGGGGGATTGCTGTTGAATCCATATCCCACGTGTGTGGCATATTCATGCACATATGATCCTGCCAGGGTGCATAGCAAACACCAGCCCCCCTGCGGTTGGAGTGGATGAAAGATGCTGGCTTCTCAGCCTTCCTCTTTGTTCTCAGGGGTTTGTGTCTCCCATCAAGCGGCTGGTTTTCCCCAAGGCAGCTCGCAGGCAGGCGGTCAGGAGCAGTGTCTACCGGAGGCCTCTGCATTCGGTCCCTCTCTACCCCCCAGATTATCTCATCGATCCCCAAATACTGCTGCACGACTACGTGGAGAAGGAGGTGAAGGTAAGGAGGGGTGGCCTGGGGGGCCGGGCGCCATCCCAGCAGCTCAGATCTTCTTGGTCGCTGGCAGGAGTGGAGGTCACAGGCCTGGTTTCCTTAACCCTGCTGTGCTCCAGGGAAGGTGGATCACCTGTCACTGTCATGCACCCGCCAGGTAAACCCCAGCCGTGTGAGAATCACCACCTGGTGGTTTGGAGTGAGCTCTCCCAGGGAAACTGAATGGCTGAGCTGAATGTCTGCCCAGAAGAAGACCTGGCCCCTGGTTCTTCCATTCATCACTGGCCTCTAACTCCAAGGAATACTCTTGGCTTAGGACTGCTTAATAAACACCCAAACCATAGAGATATAAGAAGGAAAATCAAATCTGAGCCCCGTGGGAGGTTGGATTTGAAGTCCCAAATTTTAATCCCAGGTCAGATCCCATACTGGGTAGGGTCTGCTTTCAACTTCTGTATCAGATGAGGCCTGACAATGGTTCTTATGAGATTTCAGCCAAGATGACAGAATCTTGTGAGACTGAAACCCTCAGATCCCTACTTTGCACTGGCCTCTCACGCCCTGTGGGCCCAGCGAAAGCCCAGGGGAAGGACGTGCCGAGGGGAGTTCTTCAAACGGTAAAGTGACCAAGGATTGCAGCTGCAGAGCGACATGCGTGGCAGGGCCTTTTTGCATGTGCAGGGTGGGCCCCAGGCAGCAGGGAACCCTTTACCCAGAGGTTGCCCCCTAGTCTCAAGGGTTCCCGTGGACACAGGCTTTAAAGTGAGGTTTATTCTCAGTTCAGGGAAGTCTCCATTCCACAGTTTGCAGGGTGCTCCAGGTGTCTTGGGGCCAGGCCCATGGAGACGGGCATCACCAGGTGCCCGAATACCCCCTGCCCTTGGCCAGGATCCGCACCCGCTGCTTGCGCTTGTTTGAGGGTGAACCTAATTGCTTCCGCTCCAGTGTTGCTGCCGCAGGTTCCCTCTGAACTCCGAGACCTTAGCCGGGCGGGACACAGAGAGGAGACCACTTCCCCTTGTGTCCTGGGGCTGCAGGGATATAGAAATGCACCATGTGCTGGGGTGTGCACCCCACACAGACCCCGAACGGGTTCATGTGGGCCTAAGAGGCCACGTATGTGCTCTGGCTGCACCTGCAGGGTGGGCCAAACAGGAGTCCCAGCTGGGGAAGCAGCCAGGTGTAAACAGAGGATGAGCAGGGCAGGGGGGGATCCAGGGAGGGAAAAACTCTGCGGTCCCTCTCTTGGAAGAGACATCAGGGAGTCCAGGAGGGTCAAGGAAAAAAGCCCCCAGAGAAGAGGAGGTGAGGAGAAGAGCAGACAGGCTCCTCCGGGGGCGAGCTGGGGCCTGCCGGACCCCTGAGGAAGGGGGAGTGGGCCAGCCCTGGACTGTGGGGTAGGGTAGGCACCGAAGGACAGTGTGACCCAGCAGAGGCAGAAGGTTTAATTTTTGAATCGTTCCTGAAGGACTTTGGTGAGGGGGCTGGAGGGGGCTGGCTGCGGGGCAGCTGGACTTGGCAAAGCACAGGACGGGGAAACTGGCAGAAGTTGGTGCAGCAGCAGAGCCATTGGGACAGGCTGCTTTCCAAGGTGGGCAGGGGAGCAGCCCCTGCCTTGTCCCAGACGCTGCGTCTACAGCGCCTGTCGCCCCAGAGGCTGATCATTTCCCAGCCCCCCAAGGCCCCTGCGCAGCGAGGGAGAGCAAGCGGCCGT